ATGGCTGTTCTGCCTGAATACAGGTTTGTATACCATGTGTGTGAAGTGCCAGATGAGGCCAGAAGACAGTCAGATCCCTTAGGACTGGAGTTACAGGTTATGAACCAACATATGGGTGCTGAGAATCAAACTAGGTCCTCTGGGAGAGCAGTCAGTGCTCTTACCCACTAAGGTGTCTCTCCAGCCCCCCTACATAGTGGTTTTGAAAACAATCTGAGCCAGGCGGTGGTGGCGCATGCCTTTAATCCCAGCACTTGGGAGGGAGAAGCAGGTGGATTTCTGAGTTTGAGGCCAGCCTGGTCTACAGAGCGAATTCCAGGACAACCAGAGCTATAAAGAAAAACCCTGTCTCGAAAAACCAAAAAAAGAAAAAGAAAACAGTCTGAGTTATGTAGTGAAATTGTCTTAAGAGAAAAAGAAAGAAGCTTTTGGAATCCAGCTCTATTATGTGCTCTGCTCCCAAAGTTCTTGGGTGTTTGCAGCAGCAGGCAGTTCCAAGGGCTTCCCTCCTCAACTCCTGGAATTTTTACCACACCCGAGTGTTAAGACGTACTTTTTCAAGGGCTGAGTTTGAAGGAGGCACTTAGAAGCTGGTTTTTTTTTTTGTTGTTGTTGTTGTTGTTTGTTTTTTTGTTTTGTTTTTTGCTAAAAAGCAATGATTCTTTACTTGGACCCACAATGTAAGTTAAAAAAAAAAAGGATGAAGATCTGATACTTTTTATCTTTGCTTTGTTTCATTGACCTTGAGTTGCATACTGGTTTGTCACACAGACAGGGTCATCACTAAGGTCTCCCCATTTCTTTCCCCTCCAAGGCTAAAAGCCAAAAGAATCATTGTCTGAAGCCTGTAGTCTCCTTGGATTCCAGAAAGAGCTAGGCTTTGCCGGCAGGATTGACACACCCATTTCTAGACCCTCTTCCAGGTTGTACAAATAGAAGGGAATTCCTGTTTCCTTTCAGGGCCCCTTGCTGAGGATGAACAGATGAACGTGGGAGTATCGTCCCAAGAAAAGGAAACTGATTTATAATGAAAAAGCTGCATTCTGAATAGATCTGTTGGAATCAGATCAGTTCTTTTGGGTGAAGACGGTGATTAACAGATCAGACAGCAATTAACAGCTTTTAAAAACGTTTTCATTTTTAATTACATGTGGCTCACAAGTCCTGCGGAAAGCAGAAGAAAGGGTTGGTTGGAGTCTAAGTGCTGGGAACTGAAGTTGTGTCCTTTGCAAGAGCGGTTTCTATTCTTAAACACTGAGCTGTTTCTCATCAGAAGACATTTTCCGACTGACGCTGAGATAAAGGCGGACCCACCCTTGGACTAAGATGGCTTAATTATGTGTAACTAATGCTGAAGTTCACATCAGTACCCTGAAAATGACCCCTCCCTCTGCTCTGATTACATTGTCTCTGCTTTTCACCATTCCTTCTCCAGTCTCCTCCTTCTTCTGGATACAGGGTCTCACAGTGTAGCCCTGGCTGACCTGGAACTTGCTTTGTAAACCAGGCTGACTTTGAACTCACAAAGAACTGGCCTCTTGAGTGCCAGGATTAGAGGGGTACACCACCATGCCCAGCTTTCATCTTCTTTTAATAAACACATTTTTATTTCATGTGTATGTATATTCTGTCTGCGTGCATGTGTGTACACCAAATGTATTCAGTGCCTAAGGAACACAGAAGACAGTGTCAAAGCCCCGGACTCTGGAGTAACAGATGTGAGCTGTGGCTAAAAACTGAATCCTCTACAAGAGCGTGAAGTCCTTGATCAGCCATCGCTGCAGCCCTATTAGTCACCTTTTTAAGTTGCTGGAATCAGAAATTCTGGTTACAAGACGGTTCACAGTCCTGCAGGAAACTGTGCACTGTGTGCTAACTGCCAGGCCAACACAATAAAGTACGCTTTTTGCATTTGCTGTTTCCTAACTGCAAGTGCAATTTCCTGGTGGAGTTCATTGCTCAGCTGTTACTCAGCAGAGGTCCTCAGACTTTACTCCAGGGCCGAGTGTTCACCCACACGCTCTGTAGCCCTAACGTGGGCACCGCAGGCAGTTCTGCTGCCTGTTTTCCACCGTAAAGCATAACCACCCTCCTCCACAGTGAAACACTCAAGGAGGGCTTTTGGAGTGGGCAAAGAGAGGAGAGGGGCTCTGAGCCCAGGCTGGGTCACCCAATAAAGCATACTTCAGTACTGAACACGTCTGCTACCCATAATGACTGTGGGGAAGCTTCAGCGGGGACGGAGCAGTACATTGAAAATACAACTCAGCAAAGTCCCAAAAGACCTCTGTCTCTTTAAATTGAGAGCGGCAGGAGGGCCTCCTGCAGCTGGGGTTTGGAGGGCTCAGCCTAGATTCCAAAGCAACAAAGGGTCTCCTTTGGCTTTGCTACCGTGTTTCCTTCCTCTGTGACCAACACCCTTCACCTGCCCTTCCATGTTAGCAGGCTTAGCTCTCCCTTCCCCCTACTTTGTAAAACATTCAAGAGATAAAAGCAGGTATGGTCCAGTCTTCCTATTCCCAGCCACCTGTCTCCCCTCCCCCAGGACCCAGGAGGGTGGCCAGATGCCAACTTCTTTTACAAATATTCCATATCTTTGATACATAGACATGAAAATTAATTTTATTTTTCCATGGGAGTGGCCAAGGAGGCCAGAGAAGCTTATCTGATGCCCTGGAGCTGGAGTTCCAGGTGGTTAGGAGCCACTTAACGTGGATTCTGGGCTTAATGTGCCTGCTGGGGCTAACACTCTCTCCATCACAAGATATGAACTTGTCCCACCCAATTAAAACAAAACAACCTCCCCTCCGCCACCGCCCCAGGTTTTCCTAACACTGTAGGTCATTCCCAGCCAAAGCACAGTACTTCTCTTTTCTTGAGGGGGAGGGGAGGCATTGAGAAAGGGTTTCTCTGTATATCCCTGGATGTCCTGGAACTCCCTCTGTAAATGAGGCTGGCCTTGAACTTAGAAATCCACTTGTTGGTGCCTTTCTCTTTTCCTAGGGCTGAGATAAAGGTATGCTTGCTCTGTCACACCAGCCATTTCTCATGTGACCACAGTCACTTTTAGTGTGGATACTTTAGGATTCTATACTTGTCCCCTAGTGACCAATTTATAGGCGCATCTAGCATTAGAACAGTGGGTGGATGCAGTCCAGGACTTCAGTGAACAGGATAAACAGAGGAAATACAGTTTGCCTGCAGGCTGGGGCTATTTTTGGAGAATTCAGAGGCTCCTTGGGGACATTCCTAATATGGCCCCATCTCCCTGGAAGATCAAGCTTTTTGATCTTTGTTTGGCAAAAGGATAAATATGGCCTCACTATTTAACATTCTCTACCACAGGAGGTGGTCAGGTTGTTCTAATTTGCATGATGTTTTAGGAATCCTGTAGCAGGTAGCACTTTGACCTTTATTTTTTTCAGCTTTTCAAAAAACAAGGTTTCTCTGGGTACCCCAGGCTGTCCTGGTGTGTATCAGGACCACCCTGGTCCTTTATCACTTTCCGGAGAAGGCAGGTAATAATGAAGTGGGGAGCACTCTATCTGCAGGCCAGGCTGGCCTCACTCATGCTAATTTTCTTGTTACTGCCTTGCCAGCACCAGGACTTCAGCTGAGATCCACCCTACTCAGCTCTATATGATTGCCCTTCCTGGTGTTATTTATAAATTTTTTTTTTTTTTTCCGAGACAGGGTTTCTCTGTGTAATAGCCCTGGCTGTCCTGTACTATCTTTGTAAACTAGGCTGGCCTCGAACTCATAGAGATCTGCCTGCCTCTGCCTCCCAAGTGCTGGGATTAAAGGTGTGCGCCACCACCGCCCGGTTTGTTCATATATATATATATTTTTTTTTTTTTAAGATTTATTTATTTATTATATGTAAGTACACTGTCGCTGTCTTCAGACACCCATATGAGGGCATCAGATCTCATTGCAGATGGTTGTGAGCCACCATGTGGTTGCTGGGATTTGAACTCATGACCTCTAGAAGAGCAGTCAGTGCTCTTAACCGCTGAGCCATCTCACCAGCCCTGTTCATATATTTTTAATGCATTATTTTACTTTTGTTGTTGCATCAAATCCCTTCTGAAAAAAAGCCTCAAGTTTTCTTTTAGGGCTTTTAGTTAGTTTGCAACTATATCTTTGATATGTTTGGAATATATCCCGTTGGTACCCAATTAACACTGACATAAACTCAGTTACTCAATTCTCAGAGGTGCAAAGAGCACCTTCCAGTTTCCATTTAGTCTCTTATACTTATGCAGCAGTTTGCGGTTATGGTGTAAGGGGGTCTTGAGGGCAGCTGGAGGCCAGGTTCTTCAAGGCAAGGTCAGAGGGCAACCTTCCTGGGATGCTAATTCTGGCATACATATTGCTGTGCTCTGTACTGCGGCCCTCAGGCTCGGACATCCTATAGATTCCATTTCGCATCTACTCTATGCTTCATTTTGCGTCGCCCCTCTGTTCGGTCCCCATTTCTTGAGTTTTTCTTCTGTCTCCTGTCCCCAAACACGTCCCACGGATATGCCCTCGTGCCTTCCACATGACTATTTTATCGGTGTGTCCCATGGTGCCTCTCCTACGACCACTTCCCCCAAATTCCAAAGCCTCGTGACCCCAGTCCAGTGTCCTTTCGTGTTCCGTTTGGCCCCTCTGCCCTGAATTCACCCACGTCCCGAGTGATCTCTCTGCTCCACATCCGGTCTAGTGTTCTGCGTGGCCCCTTTGGCCGACATCCCACTTCGCCCCGTGTCTCCCACGTGATGTCTGTCGTCTGGTACCCCAAAGCGTTCGACAGGACCCTTCATCCTTTGCCGCCCTCAAGCTGAGTGATCGGCAGTGAATCCGTGTCCCCTTCAAATGCGACCTTCCCGGCCCTCTGCGGTTCGCCTCCACTCTGGCCAAGGTGACGCGGTCCAGCATCCTCAGGGACCTAGACCACAGGCCGGCTCCCCGTGGGGCGGGGCCTCGGAGGCGGAAGTGCCCGGGGCGCTGGCGGCAGGTCTATCCGAGCCATGGGAGCTCCGGGCAGAGGCAGCGGCGCCGGCCGCAGTGGCGGCGGGGGCTGCCCAGGCGGGGGCGAGCGGCGCGGGACCCGGGAGGGGTAGCACGTGCCGAGCGCCGAGCCATGGGCCGGGTTGGGGCCAGGGGCACAGCGCGGGAGGCAGCGGCCGGGTCACTGCTGCTCCTGCTGCTGCTCCTGGCTCAACCTCCGCCTGCCACCGCCCGCAACAGCGAGGAGAGCGGTGAGCCCGCGGGCCTACAGCGCCATCGGCAGCGCGGGCCAGGGGCAGGGGGCGGGCGGGGCGGATTGTGATTCACGGGGGGCACCTGTGCGCTCACCTGGCGCGGCGTTGAAACGAGGTTCTTATCCTGGGTTGCGCCCCCTGCGGGGCATCCGGGCCAGAAAACCCCCCATTCCCGCTTTTCCGTTCCGGGCCCGCCGAGTTCGCTCACTTGGAGCGTACCCTACCGTCCGTCTCTCCTGTGCTTTAGAGGCGCGACTCTGGCACCTAAGAGCTGGGAGGCAGAGGAACCTATCCCCGAAGAATAGCTGAACCGTGGTGACACCAGGGCCATCATCCGGTAGAAGGGTAGAGCTAGAGAAAGTTGGGCAGATCCTGGACTACGGGGTCTAGCCAGCATTATGTTCAGATTCCAATCCCAGGAAGGTCACTCTTGATTGCTGATTTTGCTTCTCACCGACTGTGCTGCCAGCTGGTCCTAAAGAAGCTGGCTGACCAGATGGATGTAACGAAAGGGTACTCCCTTATTAGGGGAGCTTTCCAACTGTTTTTTTTTTTTTGGTTGTTGTTGTTTTGTTTTGTTTTAAATTTCTGCTCCCTAAGTGGGAACGCGTTGGACTACGGTTTAAGGAGGCAGTTAGATATTTGACCCTCTGGGTTCTGCTAGAAACAGGACAGGGATAGATAGTCCTGCCTACCACTAGATATTTAGAAATAGGAAAGATGAGTACCTTCCCTTGTCCAGTGTTGCTGGGAACTCCCCAGAAGACCTTTGTGCTACCTGGTGTTCCTTGGACCGTTTCTACTGCTGACTCTACATCCCGTTTCCAACCCTCCACACTCCCGCCCCCCTTTTTTTTCTGAAATATTACTCCTTGGAGCTCTTGTTTCTTTGAGGGCTGTTCCTTCTGGTTTCTCAGCTTGGCACAGCTTGGAATGAAAGGCAGCGTTCCCTAAAGACCTTCTGATAAATTGCTCCATACCACATACTATTTGCTACTCTTTCTCCAGTCCTGAGATTAAGCCTAAGTGAGCATGGATGTCTAGGTGAGGGACAGGTGGCTCTGTGACCATGGCTGCTTCGACGAGTAGGTGGGCAGTATCTCTGACAGTTGCTGGGGTTTGGAAGGTGTGGGGCAGAGTACCTTCGCTTAAGTTCCCAGGGAAAGTTCAGGACTTTCTTTTCCCACTCAACCTTATGCCAATGGGGGAGGTGTCCAGGGCAGGCAGGGGCTTGCTCAGCTGCCCCCCCCCATCCTTTCTAATGTTGCTTGGATTGGGGGCTCACCCTAGCATGCCAGTTGTCCAGGTCCTACAACAAAGTAAGTGTGTGTTTCATCAAGGAAACCTGGAGGGGTTATTTAGACGTGAGAGTTTGGCACTTGGTCTTAAGGCAAGGCTGAGTAGGTCTCATCTAAGTATCCAAACAGCACAGATGTCAGCTCTATTCCAAATGTCCCCCCTTCACTAAGTCTTTGTGGGGCCCAAGGGCTTTTCCCTTAGCAGGTTAAGGGTGCTGCACACTGTAGGGTGATCTCTCCCACCGGGCTTCCTCAGAGGTTTGGGTATCTGCCTATCCAAGACCCCACAGTCCTAGGGGGTGGGGAACCTGTTCTGCCTCAGCTGGGAGAGCAGTATTCTGCCTCACAGCTTTTTTCTGCTCATTATCATATTACCAGGTAGCAGCTCCTGGCAGTCAGTCCTCAACCTGGTGAATGGGACCTGCAGATACCAGAGAGCTTGGAATTCACTGAGGGAGCTTCCTTCACTCAGCCCTGCCCCCATGCCAGGCTCCTCTGCCGCTCCCTTAGCGTCCCTCCAGCAGGCTGCTTACCTTTTCTCCAGGTGCCTCTGTTTGGAGAAGTCACGTGTCTGGCAAGAAAGCCAGCTGCTCACCTGACTCCCTCTCCTCTCTCCTGGGGGAACCAGGCACCACTTTCACAGTGGGGCAAAGGGAGGCTTCCTGAGTGGGAAGGGTGCCAAATAGTACTGTGTTTCTCTTAAAGCACTTTATTACTCATTAACCTCAAAGGGACAAGCAGTCTGCTTTAGCCTACTCATAGGGATACAGGGATTTAGAGAGGTAAGGGACACCCAAGATCATATAGGCACAAGGCCTGAGCTGGCACTGTGTTTGGGGTAGGAGTCTGTAAAGTGATGCAGGGCCTGAGGCCACATGATGCCCTAGTCTGGGGACTTTAGGGAGTTTATCTGCCTCTTTTGTCTCTGTACCACCCTGCATGACTGTGTGCCCTGAGGGCAGTTGGAAGTCTCACTCATTTGGAACAGAGGCCACCTGTCCCTTGGTTCTTACAGCTGTCCAGACTTCTGGACTGTAGTCCCTCATTATGGTCTTTTATTGGGTAGGGATATGGCTGTGTCCTAAGTTTTAAGAAGTTGGAGGGCAGTGGTGGCGCACACTTTTAATCCCAGCACTTGGGAGGCAGAGGCAGGTGGATTTCTGAGTTTGAGGCCAGCCTGGTCTACAGAGTGAGTTTCAGGACAGTCCAGGCTACACAGGGAAACCCTGTCTCGAAAAACCAAAAAAAAAAAAAAAAAAAAAAGTTGGAGAGATGGCGACCTTCTGGACCTAAGTCTGCCCATGTGTCTCTGGGAGGTTCAGAGGAGTGAAGGTGGGAGTATCCTGTAGTCAAGGTTAGCAGGGGCGGGGTCTCCTCCAGACTGTCTCCTGCTGGCTTTCAGTCTCCATCTCTTGGCCTGGATGTACCAGGATATAGTGCAAGGATGCAAATGACTAGCTCACAGAAAGACCCCCCTGGGGGGGGGTCCATCTGAAGGGGGTGGAGGATAGGGCTTCATTGTTTACAAATTGCTGTAGTGTGAGAAGGCAGAATCCCAGGCCATCTAGAGAGAGGAGGCTGAGGATTAACTGCTCATTTTTAGGAGAAACTTCTCATCATTGCAGGCAGCTTGCAGGTGCCAGAAGGTATTTTCTACTTTGGCTAAGGTCAAAATCTGAATGACAAAGTTCAGGGTGGGTCTAAGACTTGTTGGAAAAGTACTCTGTTGGCAGCTGGCTTCCTATCTGCCCCACCCACCTAATCGGTTCCTTTTTCCTGTAGAGGCTGGACTGGTATCTGAGCACTTCTCACAGGCCCCACAGAAGCTGTCCTTCTACAGCTGGTATGGCAGCACCCGACTCTTCCACTTCCGCGTGCCCCCAGACACTGTGCTTCTTCACTGGCTGCTGCATGTGTCCCTGGGAGGTCCCTCATGCGCCGACGTAGAGATCACAGTGTAGGTATCCAATATTCTGCCCCTAACACCTATACCTGGTGGAGACCCTGACTCTGACCCCTGCTTGACATGATCTCTTGCAGGCATTTCCGCTATGGTGCCCCTCCTGTCATCAACCCGCTGGGCACCAGCTTCCCGGACAACACCCTGAGCCATGCCTCCTTCCACATCAGGACATCACTGAGCACCATGCTGCTGGGCAACACTTCAGTCAACATCTCCCACCCGGCCCCTGGGGACTGGTTCCTGGTTGCTCACCTCCCTCCCTCATCCCAGAAGATCCAGGTGAAGGTGAGGGGCTGACCTCCCGGGATGGAGGCCGAAACCCTTGATGCACGGAGGACCCAGCCTCTTGTCCATGTCTGGGCAGATCTTACTCTCAGCTACCGGACTCTAGATTCAACTCCATTCCCCTTCTTCTCCTTTGGCCTACGTCCTCCATTCTCTAACCACTGTCACCTCCTGCCTTGTTCTCTCCCAGGGCTTTGTTCCAACCTGTGCCTACATCTTCCAGCCTGAGATGCTGGTAATGAGGGTAGTCGAAGTCTCCATCCTGGAGCCTGATGTTCCCCTCCCACAGACGCTGCTCTCCAACCCCAGCTACCTCAAGTGAGTGGAGATCAGGGGAGGGCAAGTCTGTCCTGTAGCTGTAACCTTTTGGTTTAGGGTGGGTGGTACCACCATCTCATCTTGCAGGCAAGAAAACTTAGAGCCACTCTGGGAAGAGAGGTCAGAAACCTCCCCTAAGCATGTTAGAAGAAGTAAGTTCACTATGTGAGCTAGAGTCTGAGTCACCACCTTGCCACAGGATCTTTGTCCCTGAATACACCCAGGAGCTTCGGTTGGAACTGCAGGGCTGTGCATCCGGTGTGAACCCCGGCTGCCCAGTACGTCTCACAGCAGGTGCCACCACCCTGCCTAGAAACTTCCAGAGGGTGCTGACTTGCACCGGCCTCACGCCATCCTGCTATTTGCTACTGTCCTCGCCACCCTGGGGCCGGTGGTTACAAGTGACAATTGAGAGCCTGGCTGAACCTCACATGACAGTGGGCTTCACTGCTAAAGCTGCCTTTACAGGTGTGCTCCGTGGGAGGGAAGGAGGGAGGCGTGGGCTGGCTCTGTGCACCTCCCCCAAAACTCTGGGCTTTCTTCTGGCTGAGCCCCTTGTCTTTTTGACAGTGTGTAGGCCATGGAGTGTGACCTTCCATCACCTTATACAAAAGAACCCAAACCAGACTTATGATGCCACTGCAATCCAGCTGTCCCAAAGCGCTGACCACTGGGACCTGGGCAGGAGTAGCAGGGCAGACGCTGGCCCCTTCTGTCTTCTGAACTATCCAGTCCTGAGGGAAGACACAGATGTGGTGTCTGTACACTTCCAGCCCCTGAATGGGGCCTTCGTACTGGTGCATTCAAGCATGCCTTCTGTAATGCAGCTCCGTCTTGATACAGGCATGGACAGTGGAGGCTCCTTCATCATCATCCTGAGGGCTAACAAGGTATCCTCTGGAAGCCCACTGAAGCTGTCTACAGCTGCTAGCTCTGAGACTGGGGCGAAGGGGCCTTTCACGCCATGGCATGATACCAATAGCATAGGCCAGAAGGGGATTCCTCTGAGGACAAAAGACTTTTCCCCCAGCTGAAGCCCTGTCCCTGTCAGAAGTTATAATTATATCTGTGCAAATGGGCAGGGAAATGGCCAGAACAGGAGACAGCTGAAGAGAATTCAGCTGAAGAGAATTTGGACCATGATGAACTTTGGACTAGCAGGAGGCTCCCCTCCCTCAAAAAAGTACACAGCATGACCAAGCTGAAAACAGGGTGGGGAGGCAAGCTGCTCCTTAGATGCCTTTTGAGGGGTGACAATGGCTAACCTTCTCTCCTTCCCCTTCCAGACAGAGGTCACAAATGGCACCTTGGTAGCAGCTTGTGTGAATGCTGCCTCGCCTTTCCTCAGCTTCAACACGTCACTCAACTGCACCACAGGTATGCTGGGCAGGCAGTTTTGGCGGAGAGACTGACTGGCCCCTCTAGCCACCTCTGACAGGCCCTCCCACCCCATGCAGCCTTCTTCCAGGGCTATCCCATGTTTCTGAATGCCTCATCTCACATGGCCAACCTCATCATCCCCTATCCGGAGACAGACAACTGGTACCTCTCCTTGCAGCTTGTGTGCCCTGAGAGTCCTGAGTATGTGAATCTGGGCCTGGGCAACATGACATGGGCTGGTAGCAGCGAAGAGTGGGAAGTATCTATGAGTTAGGAGGGGTTTTCCTTTTCCACCTGCCCCCACCCCACATCAGCACAAGCAGGGGAATGGGAATCTCAGCTTTCCGAGCCTGGAGGGCTTGGCTCTAGGGCTTGGGAGTCCTAGTGGTAGAGCCACCAGCAAGAGCGCTACAACCAGCCTTCTCAGGCTACTTCTTTGTAGGGACTGTGAACAGGCTGTGGTTCGAGTGGAGACCATCTTGTATCTGGTGCCCTGTTTGAATGACTGTGGGCCCTATGGCCAGTGTCTCCTGCTCCGTAGATACGGCTATCTGTATGCAGGCTGCAGCTGCAAGGCAGGTGAGAATGAGCTTGCAGAGCAAAGCAGGGATAACACCCCCTCCCTTTCCTCCTCATGGGTCCATGGTTCCTCCTGACCCCCAGTCTAGCCATAAGAGACACTGATTTGCAGGGAAGGTATTGCCTCCTGACGGTGGCATTGCTTGTATCCTGCCTGCCCTTGACCGCCCATACTTGCTCACCCAGCGCCTACAGCTGCTTCCCTTGCTCACACCCGTCTGTGCTGTGTTCTGCTGCTCACACTTTTTTGTCACTACATATTGACATATTGATTCACACTTTTTCATGACAGTTTCTACATATTCACACTTTTTTCCGTATGTCCATACGCACCACACTGGATCCCACATGTCCACATATCTCTACATCTGCCCCTACCAACTCTCATCATACCTGCCCCTACCTACACATACCTGTTCACACAGCTTTCTCCATGTTCATGTCTGCTCATAGCAGGACATACTTGGCCATGCTTGCCTATGTTTACACGCACCTGTCCAAACCTGTTTCCCTGTACCAACAATGCTTATCCCTTCTTCTCCATAGCTGATCACGCCTGCTGTGGATGCAAATACTTGTGCAACCCCCCTCCACCCCCCCGTATCTACATGTATCTTCCACTTTTGTCCCCACGTGCCCACGCCTGCCCACCCTTGCATGTACCAGGTTCTCTCAGTGCTGATTTCCTCCTCCTGTACCCATGGAGTCCTTTGGGCTTGTCTCTACAGCCTCCCTCTGGGTGAGAAAGGGTCCCTAAAGTTGAGGAGTTCACACCTGGTATCTTGTGCCCCCTCAGGTTGGCGTGGGTGGAGCTGCACTGACAACAGCACAGCCCAGACTGTAGCCCAGCAGAGGGCAGCAGCGCTTCTGCTGACACTCAGCAACCTCATGTTCCTGGCCCCCATTGCTATATCCCTGCACCGTTCCTTCCTGGTTGAGGCCTCTGTCTACTTCTACACCATGTTCTTCTCCACGGTAGGTTTGGCCCTAACCCTCTCAGGAACTCTGGGTGGGGAGGTCAGGTCTGCTTGCTCATTGCTTCACCTCACAGTTCTACCACGCCTGTGACCAGCCTGGGGAGGCAGTGTTGTGTATCCTCAGCTATGACACGCTACAGTACTGCGACTTCCTGGGCTCTGGGGCGTCCACCTGGGTGACCATTCTTTGCATGGCTCGTCTGAAGACAATCCTGAAACAGGTGAGTGGCCTCTGATGCCAAGCCTGGCCTCCAGGGAAGCAGAGTCCCTCCCATATAGTATGTGAAGTGGCAAAGGGGGATAAAATAGAAAAGGCTGGGTGTCAAATCTCACATGAGAACTTGCCACTCTTGGAGGAAATCTTAGGAAGCTATGAAAGAAATGTGTAGCCATCAGAGGACTCCAGAAAAGAAGATGAGGGACCAGGACCCTAATCATAAAGAGCGGCCAGGCCAGGCCTCCCTGAGAAGCCTCAGCCATGCTCCTGGGTTCCTAAGGGCCCTTGGGGACTTTATGCAGCAGCTGGACAGTAGAGGTGTCTTAAGTGCTTGTGAACTGTGTCCTCTGTCTACAGGTTTGGGTACTGCCCATCAGGGGCACTCTTTTTTTTTTTTTTTTTTTTTTTTTTTTTTTTTTTTTTTTTTTTTTTCGAGACAGGGTTTCTCTGTATAGCCCGGGCTGTCCTGGAACTCACTCTGTAGATCAGGCTGGCCTCGAACTCAGAAATCCGCCTGCCTCTGCCTCCCAAGTGCTGGATTACAGGCGTGCGCCACCACCACCCGGCCTATCAGGGGCACTCTTATCATCTCAAAGAGTAGACAGAGAAGGCTCTCAAGTATGAGGGTCCAGTGGGCTGAGTGTTGAGGGCGTGAACTTTCAGGCTGTGGGCAGATGGAAACTTAGGCACGGGGTCCCCTCCCAGGTTGCATCTAAGACCATCCTGATTAGAGATCCTTGAAGGCTTGGTATGCAGGATGATGCAAGTGTGTACAAGACTGCCCAGGAGGAGTGGGCATCACCACCTAGTCCTCAAAAGGTCCTTTGGACACAGTAAAGGAACTAGAGGAAGGGCACTTCGTCCCAGGGGCTAAGCAGGAATGGGACAGATTCTGCCAATGATACTTCAGAGGAGCTGTCAGAGGAGAGGGGCCAGAATGATGGGCAACTAATACGGGTAATCAGCATGCCTGGCCACTAGTACCCATTGTGTCTTGTGCCGTCGCAGGGCAACTAATACAGGTAATCAGCATGCCTGGCCACTAGTACCCATTGTGTCTTGTGCTGTCGCAGGTGATTCCAGCCAAAGGCTCCTGAGACTCCCACAAACCACTGTGTCTCTCCTAGGTACTGCTTGTCCTCGGCACACTTGTCATCGCCATGTCCTTGCAGATGGATCGCAGGGGCATCTGGAACTTGATGGGACCTTGCGTCTTTGCTTTTGTGATCATGGCCTCCATGTGGGTAAGGAACAGGCCATATCGTCTCCTGTTCAGATTCAGGGAGAAGAGAGCCAGGCCCTTAATTCCAGTTATGCTGGGAGGGCTCTAAAACTCCACATCTGTTCAGAGCCAGAAGCAGCTACCCATAGGGCCCCAGTCTGGCTGTGTGCCTTAGGTCTTGGGTTGATAACCACTAGAACTCCGTATGAGTCCATATGAGTCCAGTTCTCCTGATCTCGATCTTGGTAGACCCTGTAACTCCTGGCTCTGGGCCACTGGGAATTGTAACTGCATTTGGCTTGTACCGACTGACTCTCATGTGGCTATCTGCTCTAGATATACCGCTGTGGGCACCGGCGTCAGTGCTACCCTTCTTCGTGGCAGCGCTGGGTCTTCTACCTCCTGCCTGGCATCTCCATGGCTTCCGTAGGCATCGCCATGTACACTTCAATGATGACCAGCGACAATTACTACTACACCCATAGCATTTGGCACATCCTACTGGCTGGTAGTGCAGCGTTTCTTCTGCCACCACGAGAGGGAAAAGCTGGGTCCTGGGCCTGTTTGCAGAAGTTCCCCTGTCACTACCAGATCTGCAGGAATGATCGGGATGAATTGTACACAGTGACGTGATAAGGCTGTTTGATGGACACCAGAAACTCTAATGACCTCTCTTCAGCTAGGACAGGAACGAGAGAGGGGCCTGTCTAGCCCCAACCGGGTTACCGTCTGAATAAAATTGTCCTGAGACCCTTGGCTTCTTTCTCCAGAGGAGAAGATCCCTTCCACCCCAAAAATCTTTATGGCTGCTGCCAGTTCCTCTGTAGGTCACAGCTGTTTCCACCTGGAGACCATAGGTACCACCTGTGAGCAGATCACTCTGTTATGGCTGGAGCTACAGATAAGGATTCCCGGTGTCTCCTTCCTTTGGGAAGCTGTGATGTGAGACCCACAAGGAAGGAAGGCTGAGTGCACAAGGCCACTGTCCCTGACATTGTGTACTCTTGAATGCCATCCTGCCTTGGCTTGGGGATGCCCTGCTGCTGCAGTTGCTATGGTAGTGTCCAAGGTCATCAGAGCTGGTTAAGACCTGGGGTGCTGTGTGCTGTCCCTCCCTCATTGTCTGTTGGAGCAGGAGATCCTGGGAGGAGCCTGGGGTAGCAGGCTGATCAATTGTATGAGGTGCAGCTCCAGAAGGCAGACAATGTTCTGCCAGTGTTCCCTCCTCACCTAAGGGTTCTAGGCCCAGTCTGGTGAGCATTCTCTTGTGCTGGCCCTAGGCACTTGGATGAGACTGACTTTTGATGGACCAACTGAGGTTTGAGGAGTGGGTTCTGGAGCCCTGGCCCAATCTTTCTGGTCTCCTGGGATCACCGAGCTGGCAGTGCAGTGTGCCCTGTCCCTGTGGTTCCCACTGTGAGGCCCATCTGCTCTGAGCACTGGGATTACAGGTGTAGGCTTCTGGGCTCCTTCTCAAGCTACTGACATCCTTTATTTGGCCACCAAAGCACATTTTAGCCCCTGAAAGGGGAAACATGTATATACTGTTGGGGTGGGAGGTGGTAAAATGTTACTGTTCTAAGATATGAAGGCTTATTTTTATGTAATTGGTGAATTTAATATTCTACAATGATTTTTCAAACCAAATGAGTGTCCTGTTTTTTTTTTTTTTTCCTTGCGTCCCCGGAGGGAAAGGGAGGCTGAGCTCAGGGTTTAGCCTTTCCCAACAGGCCTGCCAAAGATGCTGGGGAACTCCTGGGCTGCACTTGGCAGACGGTGCCTTGAACCATTGCATTCTCAGTAGATAATTTCTTATGGTCCCTAAAGGAGGCGGAGGGAGGGAAGGCGTTAGTTTAGATGGATGGCGGTTACTACCAATCGGCAGTGAGCAAAGGCGCACGTTCGGTGACACTCTTCCGGTTCCGGCAGACGCTGGCGCGCTCTCCCAGAAGTAGAGGGTAGGGCGATGCCGCTGCACAAGTATCCCGTGCACCTGTGGCAGAAGCTGCGGCTGCGACAAGGTATTTATGCGCGCTTGCCCGCCCACTTCTTGCGCTCACTAGAAGAACGGACGCCGACGCCGGTACACTACAAACCGCACGGGGTCAAGTTCAAGATCAACCCCAAAAACGGGCAGCGCGAGCGCGTTGAGGACGTACCCATTCCAATTCACTACCCTCCAGAGTCCCAGCAGGGACTGTGGGGTGGAGAGGGCTTGATTTTGGGCTACAGATACACCAACAATGACAAGGTGGGTGTGGACCACCTCTGCGGTTCTGCATGCTCTGCTGAGCAGGCTCTGCTCTGGGTGCTACGGACCGTCAGCCTGACTAACACAAGCGTTTTGTTTACGGAGCATGCTAACACGTGAAGTGACGAGGATTTGGAAAACTCCAATAGCAAAGTCTAGTGCTGTCCTGAAGTGCGGGGAGAGGTGTCCTGGATTAGGTAGCCGTCAAAAGTAAGGGTGGAGTGGGGCAACGATGGAGAAAAGAAACGAAGGATAGATTCGAGGCTTATGCTGAAGAGGTGGGAGAAGTGAAATCTGGTTGTCACCTGCTAGTTTCTATGCTCATTTCCCTAATTCTGTGACAGGATGCCTTTGCTCCTTCTACGTAGGAATTAGAGAGGCCGAGATGCTTACAAGGACAGCTTCCAAGGGCAGAGCCTGGAATCTATCTCTTCCGGTGATGCTCTGCTCTTAGCCAAGGCTTGTGGGAGGAGAGTGTATGTTTCAGGCCTTCCAGGGTGCCTTTCACTGGGTTTCAGCTGTGTAAGAGCCTGGAACTTACACCAGTAGCTTTAGGGCTAGCTTGAGAGAACCAGGTGGGTGAGTGGGTATCCAGAACCAGCCCGGGAACCCTGACTAGCATCAGTGGTCCTGAGGAGCCTGAGGAAGGGAGGGGGAATGGCTCACTTCACCCAGCTTTCAGAAGGGTGCTTTGGGGCCCACTTGGTCTGTAGAGAAATAGCAAGTTTCTCTTCTACACTTAGCTCTCCAAGAGGGTAAAGAAGATATGGAAACCTCAGCTGTTCAGGCGGGAGCTTTACAGTGAAATCCTGGACAAGAAGTTCACCGTGACTGTGACCATGAGGACCCTGGATCTCATTGATGAGGCCTACGGATTCGACTTCTATATTCTCAAGGCAAGCAGGGGTTCGTCTTGTCAGATTCTTGTCAGATTCTACAAGGTCTTGTCAGATTCAAGGGAAGTGCAGCTTGTACTTCATGGGTGTGGAAAGGGAGTGTGGTGTACCCAGGGTAGACATTACAAGCCTAGCAATACACAGTGGGATTTAGTCCCCATTGGTGCAGCCCCCTGAAGCTTTCTGCCTCGCTGTAGTCACTCCCTGTGAGCTGATGATTTGACCAATGATTGTAGCCACCTTTTACCCTTTTCTTGGGATTGCCTTGGGCCTGATCCATGTAGGCTTGGATGCTGGCACTGATCTCAATGCCTGTTCTGCTGTGATCTAGCTTAGGGCTGCCAGCAGCTGAAGAACCCAGAATCTAGCTGGGGTCAGCTGATGGGGTGGGGTGGGAGCCTGCTGTAGCTCCTGCTGTTCTCCCTATGTGAACCTTCTGCCAGACCCCTAAGGAGGACCTGTGCTCCAAGTTTGGCATGGACCTGAAGCGAGGGATGCTGCTGCGGCTTGCTCGCCAGGACCCCCAGCTACACCCTGATGACCCCGAGCGGAGAGCAGCCATCTATGACAAGTACAGGGTGAGAGTTTCCCTATCCTGCTTGCTGCCTGAGGCTCCTGGCCTGGTCCCTGCACCTCACGCAGTCCTCTCCTGCTTGTTCAGAGCTTTGTCATCCCTGAGGCAGAGGCAGAGTGGGTTGGCCTGACCCTGGAGGAGGCCCTGGAGAAACAGAGGCTTCTGGAGGAAAAGGTGAGCACCTGTGTACCAGCTGGTTTCAGGCCACTGAGGTGGAGTGGGGTGGGGGTGGGGGAGTGGAAAACTAGCATTTAGGGACTACCACACTGAAATGCTGCCATACATTTGGTTCCTGTCACTTTGAAGAAGCATGGCAAGTTCCGTCTCCTGAAGTCCTAACCCCCTTTCCCTGAATGTTTGGGGATCTTTGGCACTAGGTGTTTTCTTAATTACTCAGCATCCCCTAGGATGTTCCATTTGTGTCTGTTTCCCAGAATAGTCAAGAGTCTCTGGTGGTCACCAGTTACAGGGAAGACAGGGGTAGGCGTGTGAGTTTTGGTGTCCAAGAGAAAGCAGTCGTGTTCTGGTGGTCAGACTGCCCTCCAGGATGGCAAGCAGTATTATGTGATTATGCCTACCCCAGTCCTTCTATATCCCAACTCCTCACCATGTTTAGCCAGAAGCAGCTGGCTACTACCCTCCTTAGAGCTCCATCTGGGCTACATTGAGCCTTACCATGACCTCTCCCCTTCAGGACCCAGTACCCCTGTTCAAGGTCTACGTAGAGGAGCTGGTCCAGCAGCTTCAGGAGCAGGTTCTGTCCAGGCCCGCAGTGGTGCAGAAGAGAGCCGGTGACCACGCCTGACCACTGGGGTCAGCCTCCCCTGTGGGCAGTGGGCGAATCCTGCTTGCCGTGTGCTGAGCTCACAGCTCTGTAGTAGACTTTTCAGAGAAGCCTGCTGTGCCAGGACTCCTGGAGGTCTGGAGCGGAGCAGGTGCCTGTCCAAGCTGGTCAGGTCCTTACAGCACTATCGTTCTTGGAATGAGTAAAAGTCCGAGGCAGTCTGAGCCACAGTAAAGTGTGTTGGTTTGCTTGGAAGTCTGGAGTCCTGTGTCTTCTTGTCCTGGTCACTCCTCTGTCCCAGAAACACAGGTGGACTGCCTGCACTGTCCAGCTGTAACTGCTGGCCCTTCTGAGCTGTGGATGCTGAGGTCCTCTTTGGCATTTATATCCCTCATGTGTGAGGCATCAAGGACATAGTGAGTTGGAATTGATCCAGTGTATGCTCTGCAATGTTTTCCAGGGCACAAGAAGGGAGCGTGGGGCGTGGGTCAGGCCTGGGAAGGGTCTTCACAGTCTGCCCTGAAGAGCTGAGAGGGGGAAGCTTTCTGGGCCAGAGCTTCTGTCAGTATCTCCCCTGCAATGATGCAGAAAGTGAGACACAATGGACTTCAAAGGCCATGACTTCAGCAACCCCATCCTTAACTGCCCATTACTTGTGACTGAAGCTATGGCTTGAGGTAGGAAGGCAGGCCAGTTAGTGACTTTGGGGCCTCTTTTGCTCTGAGAGGTCAGGGCTCAGAAGCATTAGTACTGAAATCCATTCCTTTTTTTGGGAAGGACGAGGGTCTCCCTAACTATGTGTGGAAGAAGATGAGGTGGTAGAGGGAGCTGTGCTCCCAGAGCCCCACATCTAGCTGATGTAAAAGGGAACATTAGGTACCTGCTTGACTTGGGCCTGGTCACTGACTGTGGGATCCCTGAGAGGAGACAATGGGGTACCTGTGCTTGGCGGTGTTCATGATGCTAAATCCAAAGCTGGCATGCAGCCCTTCTTCTAGTGGTAGGGGGCCTACAGAGACATCCATAAGGATTAGGGCTTGCCTCGGGGTCAGATCCCAACGGGTGTACCCCAGGTCTTAGTCTGTCTGCTCTAGCCTCTGTGTCCCTGCATATCACATAATACTCTTGCTCTGTGTGTAATTATTAGGTTAAAAATTTCAGTCACATTTCTTTAGTGTGTATGTATGTGTGCTTCCATGTGCTGTGGCGCATGTGGAGGTTGGACCAGTTGTGGGAGTTGATTCTTTTCTTCTACCATGTGGATTCCAAGAATCAAAGTCAGGCTGTCAGGCTTGATGGCAAGTGTCTACTGGCCCAGCCATCTTGCTGAGTGTAATTTAAAGTTTTGTTTTTTGTTTTTTACCTAAAGCAAACACTACCCGGCCAGCTCTTGTGTTGGCGAACCCAAAAGGTTCACCCTAACTGTTTAAATCATTAGTAAGGTTCCCACATCACTGGCTTTAAATTTGAATCCTAAATTTAAACCAATATCCTCCAGCTAAGGCTAGGTCCTTGTTGGGATGTGGAATACAGTGTCCCCACTGTCTGACTTGGTTCAGTTAGCTCCTGTCTGATTATCTGTTTTTGTTTTTGTTTTTTCTGCCAAGGTCAAGTAGGATTTGTGTAGAGTTTTTGTTATTATTGTTGTTGCTTATTCTTTTTTAGAGATCTCCATTATGTAGTCCAGCCTTGAACTCCAGATCTTCATGTTTTTGTCTTTCCCATGTGCTGGAGCTATAGATGCAACACAAACACACACACACATACACATACACACACACACACACACACACCCCACTATCCTACTCCCAGTTCTAGCTAGGTCCTATAAGATATCTTGTTATCTTGTGTCAGTTTCTTGGGACCCCAAGAGATAGTGGCTACCTTGAGGGATATAGTCAGGTAAGGGTTACACTTAAGATCTTATAAGCTCTGGCCTCTATCTGCAATAACAGGTGCAGAGTGTGGCCAGAACAGGTCACTGCTAGTCACTGCTAGTCACTGCTAGTCACCTCTGCTGAGCTCTAAGGCAGTTTCATTTTCCTAATAGAAGACCCTGTAGAGCTCTGTGTTCCTAGCATTGAATCCCAGACTAGCCCCATTCCAGTGGGATGTAGTATTTGTTTCATGACATCCTCATAAATACAATATTTTTTGAGACAGGATTTCACTTTAGCCCAAGGCGGCCTGGAACGTGAAGTATACTTAATGCCTCAACCCTTTTGAGTTCTGGGATTATAGCTGTGAGCCATGCCCAGCTTCACCGACATCTTTGGGTCAGAAAACTGATGCTCCATAGTAAATGATTAGCTTATCTCTTCCCCCAGTAAAATGACTCAGGTCAGAAGTAGGTCCCAAACCATCTGCACCCTGTCCTGCCCTCTGGAGTGTAGTGAGAGCTTACTATACTCCCAGCTTACAGAGTGGAACTGATGTAACATGGAGTGTCCCTGGTCATGCATGTATGCACATACATGCATGCTCATGCATGCCAAGGCCAGCCTATGTTAGTAATCCATAGCACACACGGACTAGGGGCTGAGATGCCAGCTCTGGGAACCTGTCATGAGTCCTCAGCCTCCACTCCAGCTGCCTTGGCCACTCTCTGGTTCTTTGTGTGCCCCAGGAACCAACCTGTCCATGGACTGTTTTTCAGGGCCTGCACTGGGTTATGTACTAAGACCAACCGTCAAAAGCCAGAAATACTTTTCACTGTGTTTTTATGACAACAGTCTGAGGTCAGCCTTAATGTCAAAAATACTGCGCCTGGTTGTGGTGATGAGGGTCGATTGGAGACTGTCATTGCAGCTGTGATTCCTCACTGCTTCTATTTCTGTTCGCTGAGGGTGGGCATTGTAGGCCCGAGAAGCTGCAACGCCATCATTCCAATTAAAAATGAGACCAAGGCCAGAAAGAACCATCGCTATTCAAAGGGGAGATGCGTGGGGTGGTCTGTGAGCCCAGCCCACAGCTCCACACCTGACTTGTTTGAGAGATTCACATATATGTTGATTCCTACAGTGGTCTTTAGGGTGGTAGGGGAGTGTGGATGGTCCCTGGGGAGTTGCTGAAGCACCTTTGACCTTGTTCTGTGCCATGTCAGCTCTCTGGGAGCCCAGGGAGCCACTGGGGGCCTCATTTCACCCCGGCCTGCGCATGGCAGTCTACCTCCTGCCTTGGTCTGTGCTACCACCAAAGTCTCCTGACAGCTTGAACCCTTCCTGCAAACACAGGTCAGGTTATTTGGTACCCAGCCCTTCTCTTGTCTATTCTGAACCATCCCAAGGTGGATCCCTGGGCCCGAAGAATAAGCCAGCAGGAGGAATTCCACATCACCCCAGCTCATTTGATGCGGCTCACCTCAACCTCCCTAAACTCACATTGTGCTGTAGAATGGACCCTTTCCACAACCAGCTGGGCCAGGCTCCCATTCGCACCTATACCTTGCCCATGGATGAGACTTGTCTACTGGTGGGCTTCAATATGGTAAGGGGACCCTTCAGGTTCTAGGTGCTGTCTTGTGTCAGCTCAGGAGGCACCAGGCCTGGCCAATGTGAAACAGTTGAGCCATGAGCTGTTCTGGGGCTGGTCACTGAGTTATCCCAAGCTTGGAACCCTAAGACCAGCCCTGCTTGTTCTTATCCTGCTTCTTTGGATGCAAGAGCCCTCAAACCCATCCTGGCTCTTTGGTCCCTTTGTCTTGGCAGGGCCCTCTTTGTTGGCCACTTAGGTTTCTGGGTGCTGCCAGGCTCTGGCTTTCTCTAAGGAGCTCCTGGAAGCCTTGGAGGAGACAATTTGTTCAGCAGGTATGGCCTGGGCTTTACCTAGGTAGTGGGATGGAGTCTGACAGCTCCCAGAGTCCTTTGCAGGGCTCTAGGCCATGCAGTGCTGCTCGCAGGGTTGTCTGACCAGACAGGGCTGTTTCTGAATGTCCTAGAACTGATGTTGGTGGCTTCTAGGCTGCTCTGGGTCTGTAACCAGGATGGTCAGTCTATGGAAGTATGCCATATCGTATTCTTTTTTTTTTTTTTTTTTGGTTTTTCGAGACAGGGTTTCTCTGTGTAGTTGTGTAGTCCTGGCTGTCCTGGAACTCACTCTGTAGACCAGGCTGGCCTCGAACTCAGAAATCCGCCTGTCTCTGCCTCCCAAGTGCTGGGACTAAAGGCATGCGCCACCACCGCCCGGCTGCCGCATCATATTCTTGCTGAGAATCTCTGTTCTGGAAGTATCCTGGAATGTCTCACTAGGGACTAATATTAGTTGGCTGTGAGGGTACAGTCTTCTCCAGAAGGCCCTGTACCCTGAGAAGGGTTCCAGAGTCTTTCCAGGTCAGGGACCCATGTCTATAGAGAGCAGGGCCATACTTAGGGCCTTGAGAGGCTCTTGGCAGCGAATGTGTGTGCTCAGCAGGCAGTGACATTACAATAAGTGTGGAGTGCTTTGTAAATAGAGACTGTGTTGACAAACTTCCATCTGAGGTAGATGGAAACCTTGGCTCCTCCCACCAGGGACTAGGGCAGGGTCTCTCCCTGTTCTGCCTCCTATTGCATTCCTTTCCCCCCAACTTCTCACTGGTTTTTCACCAGCAGAGGCCTGGCCTTCAGCCCCTGGGGCAAGCCTGACCTGAAGTCCTTTTCTCAGTAGGGGATTCAACAATCATTGTTTCTACTTCAGCCTGGGAATCAAGCAGGACATGGAACAGCTCAGGAGAGGCCATAAGGTGGACAGAGACCCATATACATGGGACATGTATGAAACACATAACAAAAATGCTTAACAGCTAATATGGGGACAGTTACCATATAGTCGATCCCAGTCGCCCCTCTGAAGGGACACTGGCATGGGGCCACTGGCAGCACTGCCTGCTCCCTCTGCAAATAGGAGTGGCTTTGGGGGGTGGCGGTGTCTAAAGGGGCTGGTTGCCATGGCTACCATAGGGTTCTGAGGCCCGTCATCTGGTCCCTGCCTCAGCCAATAGGCGGCAGGAGCCTGAGCTGCAGCCTAGAGTCACGCTTCTGCCTCCCAGCCACACAGTGGCCAAGAGCAGGGACCGGCTTCCTGGAGTGGCTGAAAGTGCTCCGACGGACAGCCAAGCCCATCATGGCGGACAGCGGGACAGTGGGTCGCGATCAGGCACTTGGAGCCAGGCAGGTGAGGTAAGCCAGGCGGGTGGACAGATGGATGGAAGGATGGGTGGACAGGTGTATGTAGGTGGTCGTTGTAGCCCATTGTTCTTGTGGTTGTGGCCCTGCCCT